GCTGAGGGGTTGTGCGTAATTTGCCCTAGATGTTAATAATACTTCGGTGTGATGTTATGTAATTTACCCTTTATTTTTCCAGTGATGTTGGGTTTCTCTCATATTTGTTTTCTGCAACTTGTTGTCTTCTGTGGTGATATTCTTCCCTATTTCCAGCCCATACTTTATCTTGGAAAACTCCTCGGGGACCCCAAAATAGGGCACCCCTGAGGGGACAGGTGATGTGTCAGCCCCTAATGGCTTGATGCACTGTTCACATCACCTGTTCAATTTAACCGCTTCTCAAATTTTATACTCCTGCGGTTAAATTGAGAATCGATTTTTATACTACTGTAACAAAGATAATTTTAGATAAGGCCATATATCATGTCTATCATAACTATTCCATGATACAAATCATTCAAAACATAGGCTCTCATATCTGATTTGATACATACTTATATCATGAAATAGCTATGACATAAACATATTCATTATATCATTCAAAGTCTCAAATTTTATAGGTGGTATCACAGTGTACTTTATTACCATTACCATGTCTCTTGTTTATTGCATGGCGGCTTTATCTTTCTTTATATGTTGAGAGTCACACTGCCCAATTTGATCAAAATAACTACATTAAAATCCTGCTGCTGAGGGAAAGACCACAATTAGACCACAACCAAGAGAGTTTATAACTTTGTTTTCACCTTTGTTTTCAACACGACAGCGAAAACCATGAGAATTTATTCCGTTATGTCATGAAATTTTGAAACAGTTAAAAACATAGTGTCGTATCATATTGGGCTCGGGTAACAAAATAGACTTTCGAACACGTTAAGATCGATTGTATTCATCAAACGCGAGATTACGCGGAGCGTGCGCGAGAGGACTTTGGATTCATCATCTTCTGAGACTCGTAAAGCATATGGTGGATAAGACCTCTAGCAGCACTGCAGGAGTCACAAAGTGCAAGTTTGTTAAGTAGAGCTAAATATGAGAGAATAAATAAAGAACAAATAGTTATTCACTCACTCGTCTTTAAATTTTTGGATCTTATCGGGATCAGTCTCATGCATATTTCTCTTGAACTGCTGCCTCACCATGTCGACAAGGAGCTCGGTGTTGTAGTTCTGAAAAGAAGGCGAGACCATCAGCCTAGGACTAATTTTAAACATATCAACAATAGAAGATATCGTTGCTTCGACTCAATAGTTTCTTGAAACTACAGGGCACTATACCTCCAGTCATTATAGCCTTTGTAGGCACAAAAGTCTTCAGTAACGGGGCTGAGCGTTTTTACTGTTCACGATCCGCTTGTTAGAATGCATCATTTCTTCCAAACAGTTTTGATTGATGGTCAATATTTTGTTGAAGCCTACTGTACAATCTTAAATATGGTGCCAAACTAAAGTAGGGAATTTAATGACTCTTTTAAGTATTAACATCACAGGAGTCGTGCTCTATAACCAATACATTCCAATGGAAAAGCTTAAATACCCTCCTCGTTCCAGTAAGAGGAACATCAAATGATGATCATAAATTACTACTTCAAGAACATTTATCTAAACCTCATCAAATGATGATCATAAATTACTACTTCAAGAACATTTATCTAAACCTGTTTTATAGCATAAAGTTTACTGCCCAAAACATACCTCAATAAGCAATTCAAGAACATTTATCTAAACCTGTTTTATAGCATAAAGTTTACTGCCCAAAACATACCTCAATAAGCACCCATCTGGCTAAAAATCACTGTTGAATGAAAGACCTCGATTTTTTGTGTTTACAGTGGGTTTTTGGGGTGTTTATCATTGTAAATGGATTCACATAAACCTATGCCATCAATCCGAAAGATATTTCCTCAGCTTTAATATGATAATAATATCAAAGCCGATTCGAGGATTGCAACATTTTAAGATTACTCTAGGAGCAGGGCTGTGGCTTTCATCGTGAAGCCCCATCCTTTAGGCGAAAAAAGAGAGGGAGAGGATCTAGGAGCCTCTGTTGATTGACGGGTCATCACATAATTAACCAAAGAGGGGCAGAATTTGAAGATATCCATATTCTATCAGAGAAGGTATTGATCTATCCTGCTCATTTGTTATTTGGTTGAAAAAGGCCACAATCATCAGTTATAGTCCACAAAAATTTGACGATTTCGGATTATGCATAAAATACTCTATGTGGGTATCAACTTGTTATCTGACTGAAGACAGCAAAGATTATGGTTTATAGCCCACAGAACCGAAGAATTTTGGAGCATGCATAGAGTATTTATTGCGGGATGACAGGTTGTGATTTAAATGAAGACAGTTGAAATCATGGGTTATAGCTAACAGAAATTCGAGAATTTGAGAATACACATAACACATTCTATGCGGGACCATAATTTGTAATTTGGTCAAAAAAGCCCAAATCATGGGTTAGTCCACGGAAATTCAAAAATCTCAAGAATATACAAAAAAATATTCTAAACGGGACGACAACTTATGATTTCATTGAAAATGACCAAAAGCATGGGTAATTATCCACATAAATTCAAAATTTTTTGCAATACGCAAAAAATATTCTATATAGGATGATAACATGTGATTTGGACAAAGATGAGCACAATAATTGGTGTCCATAAAAATTTGGGAATTTTAGCGTACACAAATATTATGTATGGAATGACAATTTATGATTTCGTTGAAACATCCAAAATCATGGGTTATAGTTAACAAAAATTCAAGAATTTCAAAGTACGTATAAAATATTATGTGTGAGGCCATAGTTGCATGAAACTCGGTTTGTTCCGGTTCATGGGATAGGTACGAAAGCGTGGTACACCACTCATTAGGAATCGGGTACGAGGGGATAGTCTTATACCGTAGCCAGGGAACGAGGTACGCTTTAGGTTCGGTTCTTAAATATAGGAAGTAGAGGTTTTGCAAGAGTCAAACTTAAGAGATGTCCTTGTTGATGTCAGTAATGGTAAAAGAATATTAAAAATCATGTTGCAACTATGGTATGCATACTTTATTTGCTTAATTTATTACGTTCTTTGTTGTTTATTCTTATAAAAAAGAGTTTTTTTTAATTTTAACTTGTTTGAATTCTAAGTCGGGTCACTAGAGTTGATGAATTGGGTCGTGTTCCACATGAATCTAGGATGATTGATGTCATGCCCCAGGCCCGCAGGCTCGTAGGCGCAGTGCAAGCCGTGGGACCCACCAAGTGTAACGCGCTGTTTGCCCTAAACCACTACCAAAATTGACTATTCGATGCTACACTCGACTCTAGGCTTACCTATTTAAGCCACTAAAATTTTCATATATTTCCTAATGTGGGACTAAACATGGGGTGTCACAATCACCCCACCTTACATATGTGATGTCCTCATTGTGACATGACAATTGGTACATCCCAATATTGCCAAGCGATGTGGACTTTAGAGGTGACTCCTACGGCTCTAAAGATGGCTCCCACCACTCTCACGCGATGTAGCACTTACCCTTGCATAACACTTAGCTCTACACTTCAAGCTGGTAATTTGCTCTGATACCATTTGTCACACCCCGGACTCGCGAGCCTGTTGGTGCGGTGCAAGGCGTGAGACCCACCGAGTGTAGTGCACTGTTTGGCTCAAACCACTGTCAAAATCGACTAGCCGATGCTACATTTGAGTCTTGGGCTTACCTATTTAAGCCACTACATTTTTCATACATTTCCCGATGTGGGACTAAACTAAACATGGGGCGTCACAATTGAACCCGAGTCACGGTTCGCTATAGCATCCCACATTCCCAACTTCTATGTGCGGGACAGCAATGAGTTACAGTTCAAAGAAATTTAAGAATTTTTAAGTAAGCATCAAATATTCTGTGGGATTAACACTTGTCATTTGGTTAAAAACGCATCAATCATGGGTTATAGTGCATAGGAATTTGGAATTTTTAGAGTACGCATAAAATGTTCTATACAGGATGGCATTTTTTTGGTCGAAAATGGTCACAATAATTAGTTATCGTTCACATAGATTTCGGAATTTTGAGGTATGCATTATATATTCTATACCCAAGGGGTGGGGCATTTCTGATTGGTCGAGATGACCGAGACCACAAATTGCAATTCGCAAAAATTCAGAAACTTGGGACTACGCATAAGATATTCTATGCTGGACCAAAATTTGTGATTTGGCAGAAACTAATCAAAATTGTGGATTATAAAACCACAAAAATTTGAAAATTTCAGAGCACGCAAAAACTATTCGATGTAGGACGGGAAGTTGTGATTTGGTTAGAAAAACTAAAAATCATGGAATATAGTCTACAAAAGTTCAGAAATTTTCACAGTACACAAAATATTCTATACAGAATGATAACATGTGATTTGGACAAAAAGGGGCACAATCATAGGTTATAATCCACAATTTTAGGAATTTTGGCGTACACATAAATATTCTATGTGTAACGACAATTTATGATTATACCGAAAACAGCAAAAAACATAGGTAAAGTCAAACAAAAATTTGAGAATTGTATAGTACATATAAAATATTTTTTGTGGGAAAATAGCTTGTGATTTGGTCGAAGACATAATAAACCATAAGTTATAGTTCAACGAAATTTGGGAATTTGTCAGTACACATAAAATATTCTCCGAGATGCCAATTTGTGATTTTGTCGAAAATGGCAAAAATCATGAGTTATAGTCCGTAAACTTTGGATATTATAGAGTTTGCACTAAGTATTCTATGTGAAACGATAATTTATGATTTGATAAAAAATGACCACAATCATAAGTTATAATCCATAGAAATTTTAGAACTGTGGAATACACATGTTTTATGTGAGTGGGCATTTCTGATTTGGTTGAAAACAACTAAAATCATGGATTATATAGCTCACAATAATTTGGAAACTTGAGTGGGCATAAAATATTCTATGTAATACTGTAATTTGTTATTTGACCGAAGACAATCACAATCATAAGTTATAGTCCACAACAACTCAAAAATTTCAAAGTACACAAAAACTATTCTATGCAGGACAACAAGTGGCGGAGTCACGTGTTGTCCATTGGTGTCACAGACACCCCTGGATTGTCTATTTTATATGTTGTCCATTGGTGTCACAAGACACCATAGGATTGCCTGTTTTATACATGGTTTTATATGGTGTCCATTGGTGTCACAAGACACCACATGATTGCCTATTTTATACATGCTTTTAGGTATTTTTATTCGTCTTTATTACTTTGTAGTTAGGACATCACTAGAATTAGAATAGGACACCACTAAGAGGGCTAAAGTTGTAAAATTGTCATCGTAGATCTTATCTTAAATACAATAATGATAAGTTGTATGGGACCACCACTAGCACAACATCTAGACTCGTGATTAGCTGGAAAACAAACAAAATCATACGTTATTGTCCATAGAAATACGAAAATTTCACAGTATGCAAAAAATTTTCTATATGGGATGACGTGTGATGTGGATGAAAAGGGGTACCATTATTGGTTATAATCCACAAAAATTCAAGAATTTTAACAAACACATAAATATTCTATGTGAAACGATAATTTGTTATTTGGTCGAAAATAACCAAAACTATGGGTTATAGTCAACAAAAATTTGAGAACTTTGGAGTATGTATAAAATATTCTATCCGGCCAGATGACTTGTGATTTGGTCAAAAAGCGAAATAAACCATTAGTACAAAGAAATTTAGGAATTTTTAATACACATAAAGTATCTATGTGGGATGACAACTTGTGATTTGGTCGAAAACAGCATAAACCATGAATTATAGTTCAAAGAAAATTGAAAATATTAGAGTAGACATAAAATATTCTATGCGAGACACCAATTGTTGATTTGGTTGAAAACATTGACAAACGGCAATAATCATGAGTTACATTTTATAAATATTTGGAAATTTTACAGTATGCATAAAATATTCTATGCGAGACAAAAATTTGTGATTTGCTCAAATCAACAACAATCATGGGTTAGAGTACACAAATTTGGAAATTTCACGAACAAAACATTCTATGCGAGATGTCAACTCGTGACCTAGTCGAAAACGAACAATGATTGTTATAATCCATAGAAATTTCTAAACATTTTGAGTATGCATAATCA